TTTAGATTTCTATAGTCAATAACCATCCTACTTTTTCCTCTTTTTTGTTGGCTATGTTTGTTTACTATGAACGCTGGACTTGTATGTTTACTATTGCTTTCTTGTATATAATTATTTTCTAGTAACTCTTTTATATGCATTTTGAACTCTGTCAAATCATCGAAATTATATTTTAATGGTTTCTGCGTTATGATGCTATTTTCATCAATTAGTTCGATTTTTATTTTTGTCTTATGTTTTTCCCATCCTTTTAGAGGATCTTCACTATATAACGGTTCTAGTTTATCTTGGATTATTTTTAGTTTATCTATAGAAAATACAATTAATTCGATATTATAGTTACTTTCGTTAATATTTTCTAGTTTTTGGGTAATCTTTTCACTTCCTTTGATCCATGGTGTGGTTTTTCTATTTTTGTTGTTTACCCTTTTTGCTCCTACCTTTTGTTTACATGGTGTAGTAATCCACCAATGTGTTTTTGTTATCACATGGGGATATAGTTTTTTTAAGAATGGCATTCCTTAAAGCATATCCTTATTTATGAATTCATAACTATATATGTCTTCTATAGTTAAGATTTTATCCCATATTTGTAATTTTATATTTTTTGTTTTATATGTTATCATACTTCCTTCATTATTAAATCCTGTTACTACTATTGGTGTTTTTAGCTTTTCCCATTTTTCTTCGGGGAGGCAATTATGTTTGCACATATTAGCTTATGCTCCTGTATCTAACATAGGGGTGTAATATCTATTGTAGTAATTTTCTACTATTATTTTTGCAAGTATATATATTTTCATATTGCTCTTTTTATTATTACCTTCTTATTTTTATATGTTATGGTCAATTGTGTATTTTCTAAATTATATGGTTTCATTTCTTCTAACCACTTTATTCCTAATGTTATGTTATCTCCTTGGTAAATTTTGAATTTTATTAATATTACTATTCCTCCAATAATTATTTCTTTTTCTGCTATTTCATCAAAATTTAATAACTCTTTTGGTAATTCTGGGCACGTTTGTTCTTTAGAGGTTATTTCGTCTTCTGCTACTAATTCTCTTGTTATGTAATTTTCTTCTTGACCAGTATTTATTATTATAATATACTTCCTTTGTTCTATTATTCCAGTTATGTAGTAATGGTATGGTTCAATATCTTTTATCATTTGATAATCTATTGATTTTCTTGAGGGTTGAGGTGTTTCATTACTGTGGTTTATTCCTTTCATTCTTTTTGATGTGCTTATTCTGTCACTTACAATTTCTAAATCTTCTTCTATATCTATTTCTTTATAACTGTAATCATTATTATCTATTACTATAACAATTTGTTCAAAAGGATTTTCTATCTTTATTCTATTTATTTTATTATTTGCTGTTATTTTATGTTTTGTTGTTAGTACATATAGATTTTTACATCTTGTTGTAAATATCTTGCTTCCTGGGCTAACTCTATTCCTGACATTTTCCAATACAATACTAGAGATTTATCTATGTTTCTATCGTTTACTGCTACTGAATAATTAGCGCTTATTATAAATTTGAATTTTTGGTATATTAGATTTCCTTTTACTGCACTTATTATGCTTTTTTCTATAGGTTCTACTATCCTGTCATCTGCTATGTATATTTCTATTGGTGTATCTATTCCTTCTCTGAAACATGCTTTTATTAATATTTCCGTTCCTCCTAGGTGTACATATTTTATTGGGTCTTTAGCTTTAATTTCCTGTATTTCTTTGTTTATTATTCTTTTATTTATTATTGGTATTTTCGCTTTTCCTTTGGTATATTTACAATCTATTATGTGTTCTTTTTGGCTTACCACGTAATATTCTTCCTAAATTTTTTATTATTGGTACTTTGAATATTTTTTCTACGCTTAGGACTAATTCTTTTCCTTTTATTTGTTCGAATATATTAATATCAAATATTACCTTTTGTTCCGTAGATTCATCAGTTATATGCTCTTCTTGAGTTATTATCTGTACGTCTTTTTCAGTCATCTATATATATACACATTATTTCCTTCTTCGTTTACTTCATTCTTGGATAATTCATATATACTATCGTCACTTTCTGTCTCATAATCTATATATTCTATTTGTGTATATTCTTCATTATCGATTATTACTTCAGATATTTGTTTTTCTTAGGATTTTGGGTAATTTACAATCTTTAGCTATATGTCCTAGTTTCCCACAATTATAACAAGTGCATTCAGTTATTTTTTTCTTTGGTCTAAATGGTCTTTTTGTATTAGAATTTTTTATGTAGTATCTTCTTCGAGGTCTTTTGTACTTATACTGGGATTTATATTTTTTATATTTACCTGGTTTCCTATATTTCTTTTTATATTAATTATCATTACATCCAAATTGAGGTGCTACTTTATCCTTGCAACATGCTAAATTTTTTATTATGGTTTTTTCCATTTTCATTTCTTCTCTATATTTTTGACATATTTCTGAATACCATTTTTGTAAGTATCTTATTCTTGCTCCTAAAGTATCTTGTAATCCTGCTTCATTCCTATCTTTTATTATTTTTGAACTAAAAGGTTCTGGTAGTTTTGTAAAATATAACCTTTGTATTTCTTTTCCTTCTTCTGTATTATATGTTCCTTTGTAATAGTATTCTCTAAATACGCATGTATATTCTTCTATATAACACATATTACATATTGCTAATTTTAACATTAAATTCCTGTTTAACTGTTTTTCTTTATTTTGTTCTTCCGTTTCTGTAGTCGTACTACTAAACTCATTTCTTATATCTATTTCATATTTATTTAATATGTCAATTGGGGTTGTTGCTATTTCACCATCTATTCTTTTATTATTTTTTAATGTTTTTATACTTTCTTCTGTTAGATTTTGTAATCATAGTTTTAATGTTCCTATAAGTGTTCTTTCTATATATCCTGGTACTTCTAACATTCCTATTTTATTATCTATTAATTGTTTTGATAAATATCCTACACATAGTTGGATTGTTTTATTTATATCTGTTACATAATCTAAATCTAAAAAATTATTATTTCGTGTAGTTGTTGGGTTTGGTGTCCATTTTTTATTTAATCTTTTATTCCATATACTTTCATATATATCAGATTGTTCAGATTGGGATTTAATTCTTTTGGATTTTTAACTCCTGATGTGCTTGCTTTTGTATCCTTAATATCTCCTGTATTTATTTCTGTAGATTTTATATCATCTATATTTGCTAATATTTCTGTATATGTTTCGCTTATGTCTGAACCTTGTTCTGAGTGGTCTTCATTTTCTGATTCATTTATATCGTCAATTCTTATGTCTGGTTCTTCTCTTTCTTCGATTTGTAATTTTTCTTTGAATTTTTCTATTTCAGTTTTTAACGCTGTTTCAATTTCTTTTTTCTTTTTGTTTAGTTGCATATAGTTCTTTTAGTGTATCTAACTCTTTTTCTAGAGCAATTATCTTATCATTTTTTGTTTCTTCTATTTGTTGTATTTCTAGTTTTGCTTGTTGTTTAATAATTTCTATTTCTTTTTTCCTGTCTATTTCTTCATTTTCTCTAGTTATTCGTACCATGGCTGTTAAACTATCTTCTAATCTTACTGTTTCTTTTCTATCAATAGATATAAATTTTCGCCTATTTTCTTATATCTTCTTCCTAAGCTTGAAAATATTATTTTTACTTTTAATCCGTCTTGATTTTCATAGGTTTTTTCATCTATAGCAAATTCTTCTTTATTCATTATAGGTTATGCTTTAGTTTATATTCTATCTATTGTACTTGTAGTTGTATTTCAAATATTATTTTCCTTTGAGCTAGTAGAGATTTTTGACATACTCCTGCGTGTATGTTATATTCAAGTCTTTCTTGTCTATGTTTTAACTCGTAGCGTTTCTCTATAATTGTTCTGATTAATTCATATCTGTGTTGTTCTTTACTCATACTATCCATAGCTCTGATACCAATTCAAATGCTTTTAGGACGAATCCAAACTGAAATAAATATGCTTGGCACGTAGGAGAACGATCCCAACATTATGAGAGCCTCACATACCTGATAGAAGTAAATCCTTGGCGAAACACCAAGTTCCTTGATCGATCTTGTACCCCATAGCAAACTATTGCTATTTCGCCTCTCTCCTGATGAATCTTGCTCGCCACTCTCGTTCTCGCTGGCAGTCTCCCTCACCTCTCTCGCTTTTATACAAACACAAATGTATACATTGCGTCTGTGTTTGTATAAAGCGAGAGAAAATTGTATATACAAATACAAATACATATATTTTCGTCCTATACACTTGTGATTATACAAATACGATTTTCCCCTACGCAGTTTTCTTTTGTCTTTCTCTCTTTCTCGCTTTAAACAAACACAGATTATACAATTGATATTTGTATATGTATACCGAAACAAAAACAGATTATACAACTGCTTTCTTCTGTATATGTATAGCGAAATATACATATTTATGTTTGCTATGGAGCGCAATTATGCAAACTATAGCTATAGCATACAAATATGATTTTTAGGTTTGCTATATGTGAAAATTGCTCTATAATTTTAAGGTGTTTTTTTATGAATATGGTGTTTGAATTCAAGAAAGAAAGACGAAGTCAATTTTTTTTGTATAATATTGTAAATTAGGGGTATAATATATTAATATTTGAAATCAAGTTCTAAAATATTTTTGTTAAAAATATATATGAAAGCTTTGTATATTATTAAAAATATAGGACGTAGAGTATAACGTTGAGCTTATATATAATTTTTTTTTGCTTCTATATATAGTCGGGAGGTTGTCACATATTTAATTGTAGCCTAAGTTGAGTTGAGTAGCAGAAATGGAAATTAAAATCTTATGCACAAAGCTCATTAAGCCATTTTTACCTACTCCTCCTCACCTTCAGCGTTACAAGCTCTCTTTCTTCGACCAAATATCTGGAAAAGAACATGTTTCTATGGTTTTTTTCTTTCATAATTATAATAATTTCGACATGGATGAACGACAAAGATGAATATTGTTCTATTCTTTGTCTTGATCAAGGCGTTTCCTATACCAAAGCCAAGGCCAATGATACGCTAGATAATTTCTTAAATAAAGCACGCAATGACTTTGGTCATGCGGCTTTATTTAGCCCACATGTAAACAAGAATATCGATGAAACTAATTTCATGGTTTCACCAATTGTCACTATACAAGTAACTAAGTTTGAATGTGGTGGACTCGCTATATCAACCAGTAGTTCACATCCTGCAATGGATGGTTTCTCAAATTTTCAATGTACTTCTGAGTGGGCAAAAGTGTGTAGAATGGGGACTCCAATTGACAAGATTAATTTTTTAAGCGTCAATATGGGTGATATTTTTCCAACAAGAGATATAATAGGACTTTTCAAGTCAACCCCTATTCCAGTTATACAACAAGATATTATTGTCAAGAGAATTGTCATCCGTGAGGCTGTTATTGCAAGGCTAAGAAAAAAATGCATTGATGAATCATGTGGAACTTTGACTTTTCAACCTTCAAGGGTTGAGATTATTACAGCAATCCTATGGAGGGCTTTTATCTGCGCTACAACAATTATAAACGGGTATTTAAGGCCTTCTCTACTAGACTCTCCAATGAATATGCGCTCCAAAATTACATTTTTACCTCAAGTTGAAAAACTCTTTTGGGAATTTTATGATTGGTGTTCCAGTAAAATTCATACCAGGAGAGACCAAAATGGAATTGCATCATTTCATAATATTAATCAGGAATGCGGTGAATAAAATTGTTGCTTCATGTAAAAAAGCTAATTCACCAGATGAAATAGTGTCAACGTTGGTTAATTCATATAATGAAAGTTTTCGATCACCAGAGTGGGGAGGTAACGATGAAGTTGACAAAGTTATGTGTACAAGTATCTGTAAGTTTCCTGTGCACGATTCTGATTTTGGTTTGGAAAAACCAAACTTAATATTTTTCGGAATGAAAGACACACAAATGTTTTGGTTGCATGATATTGGACCTGAAATTGGTGTTCAAGTGGACTTGAAGGAAAGTTGTATGCAGTTATTTGATCTTGATGATGACATCAAAGATCTCATCTTTATACGTGATGCAAAACTATAATTTTCATTATGGTGTTGATAATTGTGATTTATTCTGTTTGTATTTTTTATTAATAAGGGATTGTTCAGACATGCAATAATGAAATCGTGATTTGAAATATGAAGTTGAAGTTTTATTAATATATGTTGACTTTCATCAACTTCCTTTCTCTCACTTTGCTCATTCTATTCAACAATTTATATCAATCTCAATTGAAGGCTTTTACATAACATAACATCTTGTTTTTAAAAAATGCATAGCATCCTACGACAATTTAAGACGAGGAAATGATTTTCCTTCCTTATTGATCTTTTAATCAATCATCATGAATCAAGCTATTTAAATCTATAATTTTATAGAAATTGTGAAAATTCACAAATGGTTTTGGATTTGATGATTGTGGTACATTTTAGTTATCATTTTGAAATTATGGTTAAATTTTGAAGCTATTTAATAAAGATTTGCCCCATTTCGGATGGAGTTCTGTTGCTGAAGTTCATAAGGGAAGAAATTTTATTTTTGATAAGTTTATATAGTAATTAATAAATTTATATTTACAATATAAATATGTGTAAAAACACCTCTTATACACTATTATACAAGGTTGATACATTGTGTATAATGTGTGTGTATATATATATATATATATATATAGTTTCCAGTATAAGCATATATACAACTTTTTAACGCTTACATGCATGCACGCATATCAGACTTAATTAATTCTATTGGAATCCCAACATTAATTTAATTATTATATTAATGGGCGGCCTTAAACCTGTGACCGCCACTAATGGAGGCCGGCCATTGACAGTGGCTGGCCCGCCGGCGTTCCACACATACAATGGACTGCATCAGAGGTTGATCAAATGGTATATTAATTAAGGAAGACCTTCATTTTGCTCATGGGTGGCCAGAAATAGACGAATTGAGAAAGGCAATTCCTTCACAATTAATGTAACATCAAAAGTAATTGCAAAATTGGGCTTTTCCGTAACAAACACATCCTTATTCGGTTATTTATTTATTTGCCAAGGAGGATTATATCAATCTTGTGTCTAAAGGGGATTTCTACAATATTACATGCAAAGATGCTAATGAGGCCTCTGATCTATGATGTAAACTTTAGAATTGATGAGGAAACTACCAAAACAATGGCTTGGATTTCTTTCCCAAACCTTCTACCAACCTTTTTTGGTAAGGACAGCCTATTTGTGTTAGCTACAGCAGTAGGAAAACCATTACAGTTAGCCATCAATCAAACTAGATCTAGTTGTGCTAAGGTTAAAGTTTTGGTGGACCTTTCTAACAATCTCCTTAAGAAGTTGATAATGAATATATATGTGATTGATGGGGGATGTCAGATCAGAAAAAATTACTATCAAATATGACTACCTACCTAAATACTGTCATGAATGCAGGATTCAGGGTCATGATGATGAATCATGCAGATTTTTACATGAAATTGCAGAGTCGAATAGGACTAATTACAAGGGCAAAGTGGAACATAGTGAGGGATAACAGATTCACTGTACAAAAAGAAGAGCAACTCGTGACTGCTAACAAATACAATGCCTTGGCGAATTATACAACGGAGGCAAACATTGATGAGACTAGAGAGAATCGTGGAACCTCGAACAACAATCATAAAGAGAAAGAGGCAGAAGGTAGTCGACTGAATAACATCAATAAATCAGAAGACATTGCATCAATGATTGAGGGTAATGAGAAACAACCTGGTAAGGAGGACGTACAACAGCCGAGTGACATCAACAAATTAGAACATACACCTTTGATTCCACATGAGGGTGAGAAGCACCTTATCTTTACGGATGAGACGGAGCAGCAACAACCCATCAGTAATGGAAATGGAAAGAATAGTAGCTCATCTTGCAACATTCTCAGGGAAGCAACTAAAATTAATAGAGAATCAGTGATTCCAGTATGTTATGCAGAGAAACAATCTGTAAATACCTCCAATGATAAACAACAGAAACAACTATTTGGAGAGTAATGGTGAAGAGGTTAGCAGGGTTATTACAGCAACTAAGGTAGCTGCGGAAGTTACTTCCCCAACAGGGCAGAACTCGCAACAAAATCAGCACAATGACATACCAGATACAAGCAGTAGTAATGTTAAAGTGAAGTTTTCAGACATTCAAGGTGCAAATAACAGACTACTACAACAATGCAAGTTCCTCAGACAAAAATTAATGTTGCTTCGCCTGTAAAGGTCTTAAATGATATTGTTTCTCACTCGTCAGTAGAAAGGTCACCTCAATCATCTCAACAAAGCAGTTCTATTTACAAAGAGGAGAAGGGTATCAAATATGGGGGTGATGAAGACTCTATCAACATAAGTAATTCTACAGCCCATAAGTCTGATAAGAAAGGAAAGAATAATGATAATAAAGTAGGTTTACAGCCTTCTAGAACATTACCTAAGAGGGGGATACAAAAGAATAAAGTTTAATGATGAAGTGTTTCTTTTGGAACATCAGGTCAGTAAAGACTCAAAAAGCATTTCATACAGTTCAAATGTTAAACAAAGCACATAAGTTCATTCTTATTGCTTTAGTTGAGCCATTTCAAAATGCTAGACACATCAACAAGTATAGAAGAAGCCTGGAAATGCCCTTTGCAAAAGCTAAAAGTAATGGAAAAATTTGGCTTTTTGTGAAGGAAGGATACCGTGTGGATATCGTATTAGATACACCACAACAACTAACAATAAAGATTCATGATACAAGTCAGAATAAAGACTTTTTGGTAACATCTGTTTATGCAAAATGTGATCAGTTGCAAAGATTGAACTTATGGGAGAAACTGTATTAATTGCATAGAGATAATAATTTCTCGTGGATCATTGGAGGAGATTTTAATGTGGTTCTGAATGTTGAGGAAAAAATAGGTGGAATTCCTGTGCAACCAGCAGATGTTGAAGATTTTGCTAACTGCATTGGTTCATGTGACTTAACAGAAGTAAATTTCAGAGGTAGCCCTTTCACCTGGTGGAATGGTAGAGTTGCAGAAGACTGTATTTTTGAAAGATTAGACAAGGTGCTAGTAAATCAAGAGCTGCAAAATTGGTTCAATCATCTTAAAGTTGAACACCTTTCAAGGACTGGATCTGATCATGCACCTATGTTACTAACTTGTGTGGAAACTGAGGTACCTTTCAGCAAACCTTTTAAGTTCCTAAATTTCTGGATAGAGCACAAGACTTTCAAAGAGGTGGTTGCTCAGAACGGGAAGGAGACTTATGCAAAGAATCCATTTTTTGATTTCAAAGAGAAATTAAAGAGGTTGAAATCTGCTTTATCGTTAGGGAGTAGAGAGGCAGATGGTGATATATTCAAGCAACTTATTATTATAGAAGACATTGTGAAGATCAAAGAGAAGTTATTTGAAGAGGTTCCAAGCAATCAGAATAGAGGGGTTATGCAACATGCTCAAGCAGAATTCAAAAAATATTTGCACTTTGAAGAAGAATTCTGGAAACAAAAAGCTGGTTATACTTGGTTTGAAGAAGGGGACAGAAATATTAAATTTTTCCATAGTCTAGTAAAAGGGAGAAGGAAGAGGTTACTACTGACCAAGATTCACAATGACCAAGGAGTGCTACTGGAAGAAAAGGAACAAATTTGTGATGAAGCTATAAAGTTCTATCAAAAACAGTTTACGCAAGAAATGGATACTATTGAATTTTCCTTACTGAAGCACATCCCGCAGATGATAACAGATGAAGAAAATGAAGTACTGAGGTCCTTACCAGCAAAGGAAGAGGTGAAAAAAGCTGTTTTCAATCTTAATGGTGATAGTGCAAGTCCAGACGGTTTTACAGGAATTTTCTATCAGAGTTGTTGGGATATTATAGGGGAAGATTTATGGAAGTTGGTAGTGAATTTCTTTGCAGGAGAATGGGCTTCTCTGAAAACTTTGTGGATATCATCTATAGGCGATTATAGCTAATAATTGGTATTCAATCTTAGTAAATGGTCAGACGCATGGATTTTTTCATTCTACTGGGGGAGTGAAACAAGGTGATCCTCTATTTATACTTGGTGCTAAGGTTCTCACTAGAGCTTTGATCTCCTTATTTGATGATGTACAATACGTGGGCTATGGCATGCCTAAATGGAGTGCAAATTTGAAACATTTGGCCTATGCAGATGACACTATTATCTTTGCAGCAGCTCATGAAAGGTCTCTCGGAAAGATAATGAAGGTGTTGAGTATGTATGAAACACAATCAGGTCAGTTAATCAACAAAGGAAAAAGTGCTTGGTATATGCATCAAAACACTAGTGCTCAACTAGGTGTTTTAGTTGATAATTGTACAGGAATTTCAAGAGGCCAATTTCCTTTTCTTTACTTAGGGTGTCCTATCACTCATGCCAAGAAGAGAAAGAGTGATTATGCAGAACTCATCAAGAAGTTGAAAGATAAATTGCAAACATGGAAAGGAGAGATGCTTTCTTTTGGTGGCAAGGACAATTTGATTAGTAGTGTTCTTCAAAGCATGCCTATTCATATTTTATCAGCAAGTGTTCCTCCTATGTGTGTGATAAAAGAGTTACATAGGATTTTTGCTAACTTTTTATGGAACAGAAAAGAAACGGGAAGAAGTAAACATTGGTCTACCTGGCTAAGTGTTTGTATGACTAAAAAAGAAAAGGTTTGGGTTTCAGATCGTTGTTTGATGTTTTTAAGGCAATGTTTGCAAAACTATGGTGGAAATTCAGAACTGGTAATTCTATTTGGGCAAGCTTTATGTGGAACAAATATTGTAAGAAAGAAATCCCCACTCTGGTAAATTGGAAAGGGGGATGGAAGAAGATGCTGGAGAATAGGGACATCTTAGAAAAGAACTTATCTCCACTAACATTTGATATGACAACTGGACCAAACTTGGTCCTTTACACCAAGACTCTCAGTGTGAGATTAGACATGAAATGGAGGACCTATCAGAGGTGATGAATGAAAAAGGTTGGAACTTTAAAATTCTGCAGCAGTTACTG